CCAAGATTATCTTCTGTGTCTGTGTTAATTGGTTTCCCTTTTCTTTGTTGAAGAGGGTCTGTGCAATCCTTCTGCCTAGTCCGCCATCTTGCCTCGCCTCCCAGCTGACACACTCTTAAATTATATCTTCCTAAACCAACTAGGATAGAAAACTAACTAAAAGGTTGAAATATGTGTCAATCCGTTTCTATAAAGATTACAGGCTTGGAAACCCTATGGGGCAGTTCCACTCTGTCCTATAGGGTCATTATGAGTTGCAATCAACTTGACAGCAATAGGCTTGTTTTGGTATAAACCACCTGGGAGTGACTGAATGGTTCATCATCAGCAAGTTTTTTTGTTTGTTTGTTTGGTTCTTTTTTTTGGTTAAAAAACAAGAAAATTCAAATCTGTTAACACTGGCCAAAATCAGAATGTAATTGTATTTGGCTTCTATAGTGTGATAATTGATTTTTCTGTTTGTTTGTTTTTTAATGAGAACTAGAGATTTGAGGAGTTGAACAGATAGAGGGGAATATTTGATGAGGATGACATTCTTAAAAGACTGTTAGGCTGACAGGTCCAGGCCCCGAAGGAGGCCAATAATTCCACATGCTTTCTAATGTGTGACACCCAATCCGGTATTTGTTGAATTTTGTAAAAAATCTTCCAGACTGCACTGTGTGGTACACACTTTTTAGAAATTTATTTAAATTACCTTTATTTGATAAAATTCAGTGTTCCTTGAACTATAAGTAATAGACTTTAGAGTTTCACACATCTGCACTCGAGCTCACAGCAGGCATCCCAGTGAATGTTTGCCGTGGAAGCAAATACTCATTATCTGTTCCCTTCCTTCCTACCCACCACACACACACACTCACACACACTCACATACACAAATTCCTACTTGTAACTAAACTTAATTTCCTTGGAAGAATTTGGGCCAAAAAAGATTTCTTCCATTTCTACTATTTGTGAGCCAAGTATAAGTACTAACTTACTATTCCAGTTGTCTTATAATATTGAGCTTGAATCACAAACTTCAGCCACTGAGCCATAAGCACCTTTAAATCCATATGATTTCAAAGTCAAGTACCTCATTCAGAGCAGATACAGCTCTAAACGCCTATTTCTGAAGGTGGTCTGAGATTCTTCTGGGTCCAGTGTAACAGTTACTGCATCTGTTTCTTGATCATTTTGTACAGTGAGTCCACAAGTATTTTGGACTTAAATATAAGGATACTGAGTCCTGTCAGCCCATCACTGGACCTAGTTTGAAAGAAGAATCCTGGATATCAACACTTCTCCAGATCAGGAGAGCATCACAGTACTTACTGGGGAAGTAAGTCATCTCTAATGAGAGCCAGAAGATTGTTGTCAGAATCGAGGCTTGCCTCCTCCTTGTCATGCCCAACCTCCTGGTTCACGAGTAGAGATGTGGTTTCTGAAAGCAACCGCAAGCTGAAGAGCCTCCACTCCACTTGAAAGAAACAAATGCCAAGAATGTGACTACATGGAGATGGAATGAAAGCAGAATGTGTATCTAATAGAATTCCCGTTGATGTGGTCCCACTTACCATTGTGGCTTTGAACAAAGGATATCAAGGGTGGCAGGATATAATCAACAACCTAAAACAAAAGATGCACAAGAGTTGGTTCAAATCTTAAAAATAAATAAAAGTGCTATTAATCACTCCCTATGATTTTACACTGACAGAATCATTATCAAAGAAATGGAAAAAAAATCAACTAAATTTATCCTAGATTTACACTCTCCATAACAACATTTAATAAACCACAGAGCTTATCAAACTCTCAAAAAGTCCTTAAGTCAAAAATGACATTATGATCACCAAAAGAGTAATTCTCAAACTTTTATCAGAGTTTGTGGAAAGAACTTTGGTATCTGACACAAAATCTGCTTGGCATATGTTGGCATTAAACCATCAAATTAATATGTATAAACTGATGATAACACTCAAGTAATAAGCTAAAGAACAATCAAAGTGTTGGAGAAGAAAAAGAAACACATAATCCTCACATTATATCAAGTACATCAAAGAGCTATGACAAGTTAATCTTGGTTATTTTAAGAAACAGACTTAAAAGATGTAAATGCATTACACAAAACCACCCTATGGATTTATCAGTTAAAACAGAGCACAATCAAATACGGTGTGAAACTTATCCCAAAATAACAAGTTGGTTTATTTTCCCAAAATGCTGTTTAAGAAAGAAAAGGACCAATCATTGCGGAATTCAAAGTTTGAAATCTACTACCTCATTTAATGGATTCTTTTGGAGAAAATAAAATGCCTGTTGTTTGTACACAATTTATTTCTGAGCCTCATGCTTGTTCTCTTTACACTGGTGAAAGGGCAGGAGAAGCTATCATAGCCAAATGCCATTTTGCTATTCAAAACAATAAAGGATGTCCTGCCCAGGTAAGTATCTGGGTGACATTCCCTAAGTATTAACTTGTTGTACCTCCATTTCCTAGAATAAGTTTACATGTAATACAGTGAAACCTGTGAAAGCAAGAACTTGAAGGGACTGCCTTGTTTTTCTGGGTCTTACAAGTTTTCTGCCTTTGACAGGATTTAGTCTTACAACATTTTTAATCACTTGTTTTAGTGGAAAATATGTGACCTTTCTTTTCCTGGCAGGTTCCCACTTCACACAGATTCCAGCTTTAATAGGTTTTACTGTATTATATCTAGATTATTTGTACAAATACTTGAACAAGGACCCTAAGAACCAGAAATGAGTCCTCCGCCCTTCTTCTACTGTAAGGTGGCCTGACACTTGAAGCACAGATATCATAGTCCACCCAGGGTGTTTTGAGAAAAATTCTCATTTTCCAGTTTTGGCAAAATCAAAAAATATGCAATGAAAAAATAAAAAATCTCACTGCGAACACTCATCAACATGATTAACACCTATCTTGTACCTTTAAGAGTTTATATTATGAGAGGAGAAAGACTGATGATTAATGATTCAACTTTCCAATTCAAGAAGACTGAAAAACAATTGAGCGTGGTCAAAAAACAAGACTGTAAGATAAAAGATGATGACAAAAAAATCAGTAGTATACCTATGTATTTACAACAACCAATTAAATACATTAATTGAAAAGAGATAATCATTTACAAGAGCAACAAACTTCTAAAATGCCTGCAATTACTTCATGCTCTTTACAGAAAAGAATATATAAATTACTTAAAGGTACTACAGTCACTGATGGGAAGACTCACAGCAGTGGATTCTCTGCAAATTAATCTATGGCTCCAGAGCAACACAAATAAGACACACCTAAGTAAATATATATGCACACATAAGCATAAAATAAGGGATTTAGACTAGATGACAGTATATAAATTGGGATAACTAAGTAAGGGCATTTTATTACCATCACTGTCAGAACTTAATAGCTACTAAGGGAAATGTGGGAAATGAGTCCATTTATAAATATAAAATACCAAAACCAAAAACCCCAAACCCATTGCTTTCCAGTCAATTACCATTCATAATGGTCCTACAGGGCAGAGTAGAACTGTCCCATAGGGTTTACAAGACTTTATAGAAGCAGAGTGCCACATTTTTCTCCCGTGGTACAGCAGGTGGTGTCAAACCACCCTTCTGGTTAGTGGCCAACCACTTAAGCACTGCACCACCAGGGTCCCTAAATATAAAATAACAGTATATAAATTGGGATCCAAATATGAGCCAGGGTTTCTTGGGAGAAAAGGAAAGTATGTTTCGTTATTGTTATTGCTCCTGTGTTTAATTACCAGAAATAAATACGTACTAAGAGTCAAGATTTCAAGGCCCAAACATCCATATATGATGTCTTGGGGCTTTCTATATACCATTTAAAGATAACAAGTTGAATATTAATTAAAACATCATCTAGATATGTAATCTATAAGATACCAGTCAGAGAGGAAGGAGAAACTTCATTGAGAGAGAAGACTGACTCAAGATGACAAAAACAGGAAAAGTTTTAGCCTTGGACACCAGCCCTCAATATCTAGAAATCAGTCTCTCTCTCTCTCTCCTCTCTTACCTTTCTCTCCTCTCTCTCTCTCAGCCCTGGTAGTAGAGTGGTTAAAATGGTTGGCTGCTAATCAAAAAGTTGGTAGTTTGAAGCCACTAGCCAACCCATAGGAGAACAATGTTGCAGTCAGCTTCTGTAAATATTTCAACCTAAGAAATCCCAAGAGACAGTTCTACCCTGGTGGAACCAACTTGATGCCAATAAGGTTTGGATTTTGCTTTGATCTCTCAAAGGAGAAGGACTACTATGTAAAAAAAGAGTATACTTCCAGTGGTGATGGGGGGGGGGAACTCTTGGAAACAGTAAATGAGAACACTTGGGCCCAGGGCAGAACAATTTTATTTAAAAAATAGGTTGACAAATATATGTCACTATGAATGGTTGCCTATAGAAAAGTGCCTGTATGACACAACCATGATTGCTTAAAGTAAAGATGCCTTGAAGCACTTACTGATGAAGATCAAAGATTACAAATCAGTATAGATTACATCTCAACATTAAAAAAAAAAATACAAATCCTCATAACTGGAGCAGTAAGAAACATCATGATAAATGGAAAAAAGATTGAAGTTGTCAAGGATTTAATTTTATTTGGATCCAGAATCAACATCTATGGAAGCAAGAAATCAGATGACCAACTACTCAGGAAAAAGAAAAAAAAAAAAAAGAGAGAAAGAAAGAAATCAGATGACCTATTGCACTGAGCAAATCTGCTGCAAAAACATCTATAAAGTGTTAAAAAGCAAAGACGTCACTTTGGAGACAAAGGTGTGCCTGACCCAAGCCATGGTATTCTCAATCACCTCCTATACACATGAGAACTGGCCACTGAATAAAGAAGACTGCAGAAGAGTTGACACATTTGAATTATGGTGCTGCAGAAGAAAACTGAAAACACCATGGACTGTCAGAAGAACCAACAGACCTGTCCTGAAGAAGTGCAGCCAGAATGCTCCTTAGAAGCGAAAATGGCCAGACTTTGGCTCACTTACTTTGATCATGTTGTCAGAAGGGTCCAGTCCCTGGAGCAGGATGTCATGCTTAGGAAATAGAGAGTCAAGGAAAAAGTGGAAGATCTTCAACGCGATGGACTGACACAGTATCTACAACATCAGGCAGCAGCATAGCAAGGACTGTGAGGATGGCCCAGGACCTGGGGAGTATCTCATTCTGCTGTACGTAGGGTCACTGAGACAGACCTCACTTGATGGCATCTAACAGCAACGTGTATATTTTTATTATTTTATGTATTTAAAAATACCATTCTGAGAATGAGCCTGCAGACTTTACCAGACTGCCAAGGGTTTAAAGACACAAAAAAAGATTAAGTTTCCTTAATTCCGGTATCAGTTCAGCAGAACTCTCAAAGAAATGACTAAATATAGTAGTCCAATGATTCTCCCTCGCAAAAAAAAAAAAAACACTCTGCTGGGCTGTCTGGATTCTTGTACACTGCCTATGCAAGGGTAGGGGTATCTGTACAGTATTTCTAGTCAATCCATATGTTGAAGGGGAAGAAAAAAAGAAAAAGACTAATTTCACCAAATAAAAACTCTAACAAACCAGATACAGATCTCCATAGATAGTGGTGACCCTCAAATTGCAAATTCCTGATTAAAGGCTTTGAAATGCTAACCACCCACCCTTGGAGGGTGTAATCCTGATTAGAGTACTTCATGTATAAACTAATCTCTCCTAGGGCAGAGATTAAAACCAAAACATGTTTATAATTCCACACCTCTATATTATGTATTCTAAGGTAAATTACTCAAAATGCCTCAAAATAATGCTGGGAGAAACAATAAAAAGATTTATGGAATCATTTCATTACTTTGTGCACATCATTCTGTGATAACACCAACCTCCACCAAACAGCCCACCCAAGATTTAACTCCTACTTACTCTCAAAATTTAGCTCAAAAAAATGCCTCTTCTTAAAATCATCTCCAGACTCAGTCAGACAGAGTAGGGGGCCTTCCTCCAGGTTCTCAGCTAACCCTCGACACCTTCAATACAGGACTTCTCAGACTATGGTCTAATCTGCTTTTCACATTGATCTCCTAGCCCACCCCATACTTGACCCCATTCAGAGCAGGCCCTGATCCTGGCTCATTGTATTCCTGGTGCTTAAAGAGATGGTTTACAAAAAGCCTTTACTGGAATATTTGAGTAACAAATATTGTTGTTGTTGTTGTTGTTGTTCTTAGGTGCCAACAAGTCCTCTCAAACTCATAGCAACCCTATGCACAGCAGAACAAAAACACCACCCTGTCCCACACCAGCTCTGAGATCCTGCTATACTTGACCCCATCGCTGCAGCCACTATGCGAATCCATCTTGTTGAGGGCCTTCCCCTCCTTCGTTGACCCTCCACCTGACCAAGCATGACATCCTTCTCCAGGAAATGGTCTGTTCTGAAAACATGACCAAAGTAGGTGAGATGAAGTCTAGCCATTCTCGCTTCCAAGGAGCATTCAGGCTGCACTTCCTCCAGGACAGATTTGTTAGTTCTTTTAGCAGTCCAAGGTACTTTCAGCATTCTTTATCAGCACCACAACTCAAAAGCATCAAT